AGGTGTGTCATGGCAGTGGAGGCACCTACACAGGAAATCCACCCCAGTACAACACCCCTGGGCAGTACCAGGCAGGACAGGAAGCATTTGCATAGGTTTTATTGCTGTTGCTACAGCCCAGGATAAAGACTTGAACATATGAGGTTGAACAAACTATGGAATGTCATCACCCACAGAGGACAGAGGAAGCCAATCCAGCAGTGGCCCTGTAAGGCAAGGTTTCAATGGTTCCATGTGTTGATCAGAGAAGTGGATTTGTCTGGGAAAAGTCAGAGAACTGAGTTTGTGCATCATGGATCTCTGTGGGCTTTCAGGGACGGCCTCTCTGCTCCAAACTGAGGCTGATGAGCAGCACACAGAGTGAGGACACCGAGGCAACCAGAGAGAGGCTGGTGGGACTCTTGGCACTTGAGCCTCCCACTGCTCCCACCACAGGGACGTGCTGTGGGCCATTAACAACGTGGAATTGTTGATTTACCACGGTTGGAAAAGACCTCCAAGACTACTGAGTCCAACCCCCCACCCAGCACTGTCGTGTTCACCACTAAAACACATCCCCAACCACCACACCCACACGTTCATTGAACACCTCCAGGGGTGGTGACTCCACCACTGCAGGTGCTCCTGTCCTCAGTGCAGAGCTGCCCAGGATGATGTCCTTTCCCTCAGCATCTTCACTCGCACCTGGGGACATCTGCCAAACAGACACCCTGCCCAAAACACCCAGAAAGATTCCCAGCCATTCCTGTGGTTAAACACCGCAGTCACACCCTTTCCTGTCCCGTTGGAATGTCCCAGCTCATATTCATGCGGCCCTGCCCACAAAAGTGACCTTCTATTTCTCCCCTGAAGTTCTACAACATCCTTGGTGTGACCACCACTTCTGCAGAAATCCATGGAGCCAAGACCACCTTGTTCTCTGCTCTTTTCACAGTTTCCTCCTTGTGACCTGGAGAGAAAAAAAAAGAATCCCAGGGATCCCAAGCAGGGCCTGGGATCAGGTTGGTGCCATTTTTTAGCACATCAGGCTTTTGGCAAACCCAGGTAAGGGATCTTGCTCTTGGTAGATGGGCTCCTGAAAAGCCCTGGGAAAAAAACCCTGGACTGAAGAAGAGATATTTTCTGAGACACACAGGGTATTTCCAGCCCTTTGATGATACCAGTTGATAACTACAGTGGTCATCAAACAGACAACGAAAGTGTGGACACTTCAGTGCTCAGCTTTGTTTTTATGGCATCCAAACACTATCCCCCTAAGCACGTTCCCACCTCTTTTTTTTCATGTTCTGCAGGCATCTCCAGCTGGCCTTTTGTGCATTTTTGGGGGGGTTGCCAGCCATTAAAAGTCACGTCAGAAGTGGGAAGTCATTTTAGAAGCATTTGTTTGGCAAAAGAGCCCTTTGCCACCGCCTTTCCCTGTTCAAACATCTTCCCTGGAGCCACCCAGAGTCTGGTAAGACACAGATCTGGTGAGACACAGCTCCCAGAAGAGGCGAGGGGAGCAGGGGGTGCTTTAGCTGTAGAAGACGGGCTTGCGGAGCACCCGCACCACGTTGTACGTGTTCAACCCCGGAGCGTCAAAGCCAGGGGACAAACCCTTGCGGTCAAAGGGGTAAAAGTTAAAGAGCTGCCCGTTTTGGGTCTCCAGGGAGATGGAGGCAGAGCCCAGGTGCAGGACGCACGGGAACTCCTTGTCGAAAACGACTTGGAAAACGCGATCCTCTAGGTGGTGGAGCTTGATCGTCCGGTACTTCTCAGGGATCAGCTCTTCCACGTGAGGTCCAAACTGCTGCATGATCAGCACCCCACCGATGCCAACTTTGATCTCATAGAAAGTCAGGTTGGAATAGGTGTAGTAGCCAACATAAGGGACAGGGTTTGGGGGGGGGACCACGCTCTTCTGTGCCTCCCTGAAAGCCGTCTCCATGGCCGGCACGAGGTGCTCGTAGGTCTCAGCCACGACATCCCCGCCCTGGGGCCTGGGCCCTGCCATGAGCACGATGAAGCTCAGGCGGAGCTTGGGGATGAGAGAGAAGGTGGCTGAGTAGCCATCGAGGTCCCCATCCTTCCTGATGACGTCGTAGCCCAGCTGCTCGTTGATCTCCCAGGGCGTGCCGGTCTTGTTGGCGAAGTAGTCCCTGGAGCACTTGAGCAGCGGGGTCAGCATGGTCTTCACGGTGTCGGGTGCCAGGAGCCGGCGGTGGTAGGTGCCCAGGAACACCATGGCCAGCTTGGCCAGGTCGGCAGCCGTGGAGTACATCTGCCCAGAGGGTCTGTACCAGCCCAGGTCGTAGAGCGGGGCCGGCTGGCGGCTGCCGTAGAAGCCCACGGCCATCTGCGAGCGGATGGGCGGCGTGAGGTCGAACCCCGTGTCCTCCATGCCCAGGCGGTCCAGGACGTGCTCCGACACCCAGCGCTGGTACTGCCCGTCGGCCCCGTGCTCGGCCAGCACGTGGGCCAGCAGGGAGAAGGCCAGGTTGCTGTAGTGGCACCTGAGGAGGAGGAGGAGGAAGATCTCGGGGTCAGCTTCAAACCCGCTGCGGGTGGGACAAAGCGGTGCCAGTGTCGGTTGTTTAGCGGGGGATTCACTTTTTAGGGAATGATGTGCTGAAGGGAGAGGAGAGGTGAAGGAGAGGCAGATGCATTGTGGGTGTGGATATGAAAAGATCTCTGTTGTCTAGGGAAGACTCACGTTCATGGAATGACATGGAGAGAGAGGGATAGTGTGGATGATGTCACAAAACAGTGACCGTGTCTCTTATTTAGGGGAAAATCCACATTTTATGGAGTGGGATGGTAAAGGGAGGTGAAGGAGAGACAGGGATACAGTGTGGATGTGGATATGGATATGGATATGGATCTGAATATGGATCTGGATCTGGAAATGGATCTGAATATGGATATGGATCTGGATCTGGATATGGATATGGATCTGAAAATGGATCTGAAAATGGATCTGGATATGCATATGGATATGAAAAACCAGTGGCTATGACCCTTATTTAGGGGAAAAAGCAGATTTTATGGAATCACATGATTAAAAGAGAGGAGAGACGAAGGAGAGACAGAGAAAAACTCTGCGTTGTTGCCTTGTTGTTAAATCAAGAGAGAGAAATACTTCACAGCAACATCAGCAGAGTTATTGAACTCTGGTGGACAGAAAGATCTGGGGATGAAACAGAAACACCCCTATAAATTTGCATAACCTGCTTTACTGTTTATAACAGCTCACAAAGAACACATCCACTGTTTTTAGAGCAAACGAAGAGTTCCAGGTGTTCCCTCAGAGGTCTCAAAATCCCAGGTAAGCCTCTTTGGGGATTGACTCTGCTATAATCACTTAAACACCTAAGCTACCTTAAGATGATAAAAGCACTTAAAGGGCACTTAAAAGCCCACAAAGCAGCAACCAGCACAGTGAAGTCATTAGAGAAGTGCTTCAGTCTTTAATATCCATCAAGTGATTTAAGTCTTTACACTTGAATGAAGTTTAATGGAGTGAAGACATGAATGAGCAAGTTTTCTTAAACACATTTTCAAAATTCATTGTATTTTCAGCTTGGTTGTTTGATTTTTTTTTTTTTTTTTCTTTTCAGTTGTGTGAAGCCACACATCTCACTGAGGCCTATTTAGGTCATAAATTTGGTACCATTTCAACCTTTTCCAACCCATCTGGCTGAATAAAACACACTCTGGATTTAAAATTTTATGTCTGAAATGGAGCTGAACTTCAACATAGAAAAATATATTAAAAGGTCTGTGTCAATAAATGGGAACTTCTTTGGGAAGTATGTCCAGGAACAGGGAGAGAGTTAAAACTATCAACATTAAGCTGATATTTATTAAGTTATTAAGATGTTATGAGACTGTGAGGGGATGTCCCTGTTTATCTTCATGGGGAGCACAATATAAAGATATCAATAGAGATAATAACAATAAGGATATAAAAATATCAAAGAAAATCACGTTATTAAAATGTTAACATCCTTGAAGGAATATCTATTGTAGCCTCCTACATGATAAGGGAAAGAACAGAAATGAAGGAACCTCTGAGCTTTCCTCCTTTGTGGCCATGGCAGATCCTTAGCCACGCTGGACAAATTATTTCGGGATTTAACTCTATTCCCTGACCATTTTGCAGACTTGGAAAAACTTTCCCAAGTTAGTTCCAATCCTTTCCCTCACCTGATGTCCGCTGGATCCTTTTTTTAAAGGAAGCTTAAAGTTTAAGGAAGTGTGGAAGTGTCCAAGGTCAGATTGGATGGGGCTTGGAGCAACCTGGTCTAGTGGAAGGGGGGTGGAACAAGTTAATCTTTAAGGTCCGTTCCAACCCCAACCATTCTGGGATTTTATGATTTCATGATATTTTTGAATGTTTGCAACTCTGGTAATGGACTTTTAATAGGCCATAGAAATTATAAAAAGCATTCACAGATTTTATAGATAATTTAGAGACATACAAGTGGCTACAGACACGATTTTAACTGAAATCTGTGACGTTTAAAACTGTTTAAACTAACACTTCAGCTATAGAAAACCTGCATTTAAGGCTTATTGGACCCAACTGTGGCAGTTTAACTTGCCTCATCTTGACAGATGAAAAATAGAATTACAGAATATTCTGAGTTGGAAGGGACCCACAAAGATCATCAGATCAGCTCCAGCCTCAGACAAGTGTGTGGGGAGGTGGCTGAAGCTCCCTTTGGCAATGTCTATCCACTGGCCATGGAGGTTGCAGGTGGTGCTAAGAGTGAAAAACACTCTCCTAAAAGCTCCTAAAATTAATCCATATGACCTGCTCAAGAGAGCAGAGATGAGGATACAGTGTGGACATGGATATGATAAAATAGTGGCTATGTCTCTTACTTAGGGAAAAATTCACATTTTATGGAATGACACGGTAAAGAGAGGGGAAGGATGAAGGAGAGACAGGGACACAGTGTGAATGTGGATGTGGAGATGACCAAGAGCTCGTAAATGAATCCATCTGACCTGGTTCCTGGGTCAGCCACCAGCACATCATCCTTCAGGAGAGCCAGGGCGTCCTGCGTGCTGCCCTTCCACAGCAGGCTGGTGGATCTGAGCCTCCTGGGCAGACCTGTGCCAGGGAAAAGGGGTTAATTCCAGGCAAAGCATGGAAATGGTGACTCTGGTGAAGAGGGAACAGAAAGCCAAGAGTCAAAGTGGAAGCGACAATGGTGGACACAAAAGGACCTGTTCGCGCCACGCTGCAGGAGCCTCAAACCTGGGGGGTGTAAGTGCTACCCAGCATGAACTCGGGGTGCCACATCTCAGTGAAAACACCTCCATGAATGATCCAAAACCTCCTGTATCCCCAGGTGTGTTTTGGCTTGTTGGGTGTTGGGGAAATCCCTGCCCAGATTGCCGTGGGACTCCGTTCCCGTGACTACAAAGGTGTGTAACGGCCGTTTTTACCAGGATTTCATTTTTTACACCTCACTTTTGAGGGCTGGAACTTCTCTGAATGGCTCCAGGCTTGGCCTAAAGTATTTCTGTCTTCCCCCCCTGCCCATCTTTAGCAACATTTATTAAAGGTTCTGAATGTAGGAAAAAACAAAGGTCTTTTCACTGTAGAAAATGCTAAGATTTTTTAACTTTTAGTTCCATACTGAGCATGGATTCCCTACAATCTTTTGGCCAGTAGTTTTTAAATTGCCCCAGCTCCTCTGAACAGGATCTGTGGCTTGGATTACCCCTGGAGTGGAGTCCTTGTGGCTGTTTCCAGCTCACTTTGATGTAGAAGTGGGGAGGGAATTGGGAAGTGTTTGTGACAGAAAAGCAACTTGTAATAGTGACCATGGGCTTAATCACAGAACTATGGAATTGTTAGTGTTGAAAAAGCCCTCTGAGGTGGAGTCCAACCATCAGCCCAGCACCAATCACCACCATGTCCACCACTAAACCACGTCCCCAGTGCCCCATCCACACATTGTTTGAACACTTCCAGGGATGGGGACTCCCCCACTGCCCTGGGCACCCTCTTCCAATGCTTTTCCAACTTCCCTGTGAAAATCCTTCTCCTAAAACCCAGTCTAAACCGTCCTTGGTGAGGGCTTTTCCTCTCCTCCTGAATCCTGGCAAAGCTGAAGGAGGCCCTACTTTTTTTGGAGCAGCAACTCTTGTTTTTCTCAGTTGGCCTGACCTTGGGATTCGAGTTGGAATGAGAACAGTGTTTGTGCTCCTGCTCTGCGGTTGTTTGTGCAGCTGAATGACCAGGTAAGTGATGCATTTACCAGGACACAATGGGCTCCTTCATTTCCTCCTTGCTGCAAAGACAGTGTTGGACCATGGGAGAGCTCCCCAGAGCCCTGACAGCAGCGCAGTGTCTCTCCTGAGGTTCATTAAGAACGATAAACCAGAGGATGTGTGAGCAATAATATAACCCACAGGCACGGATTTATAGCTCGTGGGCCGCTAATTGATGTGACAAGCACACTGTTAATAATTTACAACCTCATCCCCTCCTGTCATTCAGATGTGTTTGAAAATCCTGGGCTTAACAAGCTGGAGCTCCCAACCAGAAATGTGCTGAGTGCTGAGGAGAAAGACCTTTGGAGTTCCTTTTGTAAAATGCAACGGAGAAGAGCCCAGATAATGAGAATCCATTAGAGATCACTTTCCACTGGAAGAATTCAGATGAAAACCACTTTACAATTCAGATGAAAACCACTTTACAATGTGTCATGCAGTGGCTTTGATCTTGGTGCCAGGCAAAACCTATTCCTTTTTTGGGGGTTTTGACAGACAGCAAATGTAATGTGGGACCTCAACATTCAATTCATCTTCAGTTGGGATTTTGAAACTCTGCTTTTGCTTCTGGGAAATTGTCAGGGGCTGAGGTGGTTGGTGTGTCCTGCTGATGTGGTCTGAGAAATTTGGGCCAAATTCTACCAAAAAAAAAAAAAAAAAAAAGGCATAGGAGCTGAGCAAGGGCACGAATTCAGCACAGTGGAGGGGCTGCACAGAACAAGAGACCAGGGGCACTTCTGACATGTTCTTCTCCCAACAATTCTAGGGTGCACTTCACACCTCACTGGGAGACAGGAGCCCTAATTTCAGGGCATTTATTCCAACCTGGAATAATGGAGAAGCTAAAGAGATGAACCAAAATGCCACACAAGATAACCAGCACAGCCTCTTTGGCCATTTTACATTTTGGAATCTCTCAGTCAAGTATTAGCAGCTTTATTTCTGAGAAATGTTAAAGTTCTGAGTCCTGTGAGCTCCTTCGACCCTAATGTAACAGTTACCCAGTTCTGAAGCAGCAGCACGTTCATTCTCCTCTGCCAACCAGTGCAGAGCCATGAATAGCTCAGGAATCCCGGATCAGGAGCCACGCTGGCAGCTAAATTTAGCTCATCAATCAAGGTCTTTCTATTCAAAGCAAAGAGGTTTGGTGCCTCTTTGACCACCAACTCTACACCTCAGAAAAACCAGAGCACTCTGGGCTGGAGCACAAGGCACTGTTATGCAATAAGAGTTTCAAGATATTTCAGGAATAAGATGGTGGGATGCACCAGGAAAAAATACTGGGGGGGTGTTGGGATATTTGGCGAATAAAGTACTAGGATGTGGTGGGAACAGAATGATGGGATAAAATAGGGCAGGAATAAAATATTGGGATATGTCACACGTAAAACCTTGGCATGTGATGGGATTTAATGTTGGGAACATGCCGCAAATAAAGAATTGGGATATGTGGGGAATAGAATATTGGGAGTGAAATGCTGGTGTGTGTGTTGAATCCAACCCTGTGGTACCAAATTATAAGGAATTTGAATCACTTTCCAGGGGAAAAACAACCCCCCCCAGCCCGTGGGGCAGCTTGGCCCCTTTCCTGGCAGGTGGCCTGGACAAGAGTTTCCTTTTAGCACTCCAGGAAGCTGCTCCCAGGAGTCCTTCTGACCTCTGGGAAGGGCACAGGAGCAGGGTCCATGCCGGGAAACAGCCTCTCAGGAGCCTTTGGCACCCCTGGAACTTGGGCTGTGGTGTCTGTGTGCTCTGAGGTGGCCCAGGGCAGGGCTGGCTCACCTGAGAGCTGGCTGGCCATCCTGCGCAGGGTGACGGGCGATGGCTTCAGCGGCGTCGAGCCCTTCTCCAGAAACACCAGCCCATCTGCTGAGTATCTCTGCTCTGAGTCCTTCAGCCTGCCCAGGGGGTTCTTGATGACAAAGTTCTGGACGTAACGCTCCAAGGGGTCGTCCAGGGAGGTGACCTTGCCTTCCTCCCACATCTTGTACAGCATGATGGTGGGGAAGATCTTGGAGACGCTGGCGATTCTGCGAGGGGAAAAACACGTAGGGAAATGAAACTTTAGGAAGCTCATGGATCGAGAGGAAAGATGGTCAGTGCATGGGATCACCGTAGCTTTCACAGCACCAAGGCTGACAGAGGGCAAGGAGTGCTTGGATGATCCTTCAGGGCACATGGTGTGACTCCTGGGGATGGGCATGTGCAGGGTTGATTGGACTGGATGATCCCTTTGGGTCCCTTCCAACTCAGCATATTCTGTGATTCTGTGACATTTTTGCCTGTTATAAAGGGAAGGGTTAAAATGCAGGTAAGAAGCTTGAATTAATATCCTTAAATTTGAACCTTTATCAACGGACAAACTCTGTCTGTGCCCAGCAGTGCAGTGGCTGCAGATCTTTTCCTAGTCACTTAGTGTTCATAAAATTACCTATTTGGTAAATGATTGGTTAGTAAGAACCATAAAGGAAGGGCAGGCACTGGTCTCTGCTCTGTGAGGACCAGGGACAGGCCAGGGAATGGCCTGGAGTTGTGCCAGGGCTGGGTTAGGTTCTCACAAAAAGGATCTCAGGGAAAGGTTCTTCCCCCAGAGGGTGGTTGGCACTGAACAGGCTCCCCAGGGCAGTGGGCAGGCACAGCCCCAAGGCTGCCAGAGCTCCAGGAGGGTTTGGATGATCCTCTGGGGCACAGAGTGTGACTCCTGGGAATGGTCCTATGCAGGGCTGAGGGTTGGACTGGATGCTTCTTTTCCCCCAGCTCAGCACGTTCCGTGATTTTGCGACAAAACCTTGCTGGGAGTTCATTGGAACGTTATGGTTAAAATCACGGAATTACAGAATCCTTTAGGGTGGGAAAGACCTCTAAGATCATTTAGCCTCACCATTTACCCAGGGCCACCCCTAAACCTTGTCCCCAAGTGGGAGATTTGCACGTTTGGAGCTGCCTCCATCCTGTCCCTGTGGCGCAACCGGGCAGCGCGTTCGGCTGTTAACCGAGAGGCTGGTGGTTCGAGCCCACCCGGGGACGTGGATGTGAGCCCAGGGCACGATTCCAGGGCTTGGAAATACACCTTTAATGTTCTTGCCGACTCAAACCATCTAATGGTTCTGGGGGAAAAAATAGCAGGAGGTAATTTTAACGGTTATTATAGATGGGGAAGAAACAGGTGATCGGGAACTTTCCAAAATTGTTTATTCCGAGGACAGAATTTGACAGTCAGAGTGCAGCCCGTGTGTTTCATAGATAACACAGGTAGAATTCACTGAAAATAGATCTTTAAAGGAAAAGATTTTTTTGCTGTTGTTGTTTTAGCACACACTAAGGGCTTGATTATATATTCATCTAAAAATTAACAGCCAGTATGACACTGGGAGGATGAATAAGTGTACAGGTCTATTTTATGTATAGTAGAAACTCTACCCAACCCCCAAATTTTTCCTAGGCTGATATTATTATTATTATTATTATTATTATTATTATTATTGCTTTAATTAATATTTTAACCCTCTGGCCCTGTCTCCTCTCTGTTCTCTTTTTTTAGTAACTGTGCCAGTTCTCAGCCTTCAGATTTGTGCACTTTGCCTCCTCAGAAATGGAGCCACTCTCATGAACGCTTTCAGGTTCTTCAGGATGGTCATTTAAAACATTATCAGATCAAATTAAGAAAAAAAAAAAATCAATAAATGCATCCTAAGCAACTCATTAAACCACCAGCAAGTGATAATTTGGAGATTTGACTGAAGCATCGTCTCACAAAGTTTCAAGAGAGGTTCCTGCAGGGAACCTGACAGTGGCTCTATCCCCAGGGATCAGATCTCCATGTGTGGATGTGCCCTTTCCTGGCTCCCTGCCTGTGCCAGGGGTACCTTTCCCTGCCTTTTCCTGGTTCTCTGTCTGTGCCAGGGCTCTCACCTGTAGATGGTGTATTCGTTGGGCACGGCCGAGGAGGGGTCAGAGATGTTCTTCTTTCCAAAGTTTCCTGTCCAGAGCACTGTGTCGTTGTAGATGACAATGGCAGACATGGCTGGGAGCCCTGAGCTGTGCATCTTCTGCCTCAGCATCAAATCCACCTGGAGAACAAGGGGAGACCAGCAATTCCCAAATGAAAGCTCTTATAGTGCATCCAGTCTGTATCAGACCACCAGCCCTCCTCGCTCCTGAGCACTCTAGAGGGGTTCTGTGAAATGTGTTTTGTCACAAGAAAATATTTTAATTGTTTAACAGTTTCTTAGAATTGCTTATGTTGAATTATCCAGTGTCTTCCTTTTGGTCTACATGTCAAAGAACCCGTTGCTCATCCTTGTAATATTTAAGATTAAAACCAAATACCAGCATGTAATAACTGTAAATTCTTCCCTTTTAAATTGTTCCCTGCACATCTGTACTCTGCACCGGTATTTTAGAGTCACAGATGTACAAGAAGAAGACTTTTCAAGTATCCCATGAGACTTTTCACTCCACGAATCTCCAGACCTTCCAATGGACAAGTGATCATGTTTCTCCATCACAGCTTTCCCTCTGGGTAAGAGAACTGCTCGATGACCCGTCCTGAATGTTCACTGGAGGAGTTTCATTACACCCATCCCCAGGTTCACCTGTTCTCCTCCTCCTTGATTCCACACCTCCTCCCCAGAGATGCTCAGAGGCAAATGACACATTCCATCTAGCTCTACCCCTGCAGGAGAGCAGCCACGAGGCTCCCTCTGTTGTTCCCTTCTCCCCACAGACCTTCTCCAGGGCATCCTTCAGGATGGGGATGGGGTGGTCCAGGGGTACCGGCTCAGGGTAGCGGGGGCACATCTGCACAGAATCCGACCTCACTTCCATCACAGAAGGGCCTGGAAAACGTTGCAGAGGGAGCACAAGTGACTTCAACAGACACACACTGACAGGGTTTAATCTCACTGCAATTTCACTGGGTGAAAGTGGGGAGAAAGGGTTTTATCAGTGTCCCAGATTTCTGTGCCAAACTATGGGCGAGGTTCAAGCAGAGTACTCACTGGGCTCCACCTTGGGAAGGCTGTACTGCCACAGGAAGCAACCTGTCATTGCCACAGACAGCAGGAAAAGGAAGACAACCAAGACATGGATCCACTTCACCTCCATAGCAGTGAGTTTGAGGAAGCTCCGGCTGCTGGGAGCCTTCTGCAAGCAGAAAAGGAGTCAGAGAGAGAAAAAAACCCACCTCTCCTGCATTACATGTGCTGGGAGAGGCCCAGTGCACCAGAGAACAAAGCTGCTGAGGGGACATGGGTTGATTTGAGCCCCCTGGTCCAGTGGAAGGGTAGAACGAGATGGGTTTTAAGGACCTTTCCCACCCAAACCAGTCTGGGATTCTGGGAGAATTTCAGCACCAGAGCTGGGCATGCCAGCCCATGTTGGGATAACTGGAACCAGAGATGACTTTCTTGCCTTTCAGTGAAGTTTGCAAGCTTTACCTTGTGGGTTCTTGTAGAAGAACACAACTACTCCTTGTGCCTTCCCCCTCCCTGCAGGTGAACACCCATCAGACAGGATTCCAGATACAGCTCTCAATTCCTCCCTTCTCAACCATCAGCACTTATTCCTGGATATCTTTCCATCCTCTTTTTTTTTTTTTTTTTTTTTTCCCCAGAGTCAGCATCTGTTCATGGCAGCCACCAGCCAGATCACCTGAGTGGATCCAGGTTTTCTAGATGAACGAGGGAATTTTTTCCCCGTTTGCTGCCCTCACCCTTCTATGTTGGGCCTGTAAATCCCATCCTATCACAGACCATCTGCAAGCTTGGCGTTTACAGATGCCATGTTTTGGGGGAAACTGGCTGATATTTTGAGTGTGTGCAGCTCTCACAACACTGGAGACCATCCAGGTTGGGGAGAGAACCAGATCAGTGTTGAAATAAAACAAGGAACAGATGACAAACGAGGAGGTGCCTGAGCCTGGGCTGTGCTCCTTCACTGCCTGCAGGAGGTCAGGAGGGTGCTTTTGAAAGTTTGGCAATTAATGTTACAAAACATATGGGCTGCCATTTGCCTCCAATATGGTCCACATTCCAAAGCTGTTTCAGGTTGTCTGGACTCACTCGTAGGATAGACAGATTGAAATATTCCCTTCAGATTTTCCACATGGCCCTTTTCTTTTTTTTTTTTTTTTTTTTTTTTTTTTTTTTTTTTTTTTTTTTTTTTTTTTTTTTTTTTTTTTTTTTTTTTTTTTTTTTTTTTTTTTTTTTTTTGAGATGCAGGAGGGTTCAGGCAAAAGCTTCTGCAAATCAGCTGAGCCTTGTCAGTCCCAACCAGGGAATTCCAGACTCCCCCAAGGCTCTGTGGCTCAGGAAGGATCCAGCTGCGTTTTCCAGCCCCTGATGAAACTCCAGGTTGC